ATTTGAATTTGTACTTCTTCGCACAGTCTTTGACGATTGTGGAATCTCACCAGCTGTGTTTTGTCAGCATTGAGGTACAATGAATTGGTTCCACACCAATTTACAACTGACTTCAGAGTACTTTCACACTTCTCAAACAGAAGGTGATCTAATTTATTAGATACCACCAGGGATGTGTCATCAGCATACATCACCGAAAAGCTTTGAAAAAATTGAAATTTCCAAACTGGCCATCCCTATGTATCCTTACTATGCCATCCCTATGTATCCTTACTATGCCATCCTTATGTATATGACACAATTCATGTATACTGATTGTTCCATGATATGGCAAAATAATCTTGTGATATTCATTTCCTTATAAATAAAACAAAATATTGTAATGATATTCCCCTTAGAGTGGCTTTAGAAACATCAGCTGTATCACGCATGCCAGATTGCTCTCCAACCTCTCAATGATTCCTACATACACCAGCATATTTCCGAACACTCAATATATGCCGCAGTGACAAATAACGTCACAGAAGATTCTGGAATGTTCTGGAAACAATCGATGGAACAATTAGAGAGAGAGAGGTTTTGTTCTAAGAAGCTTCTAGAACAAAAAGAAGGAGACGGAAGATCGTTCGAGAACGTTCTCGAACCAAAGCCTGCCATGTGTTCTCATATATAAGACGGCCGAACAACTGAGTCAGTCAGTCGAGCAGCGAGTGTCAGAGAGACAGTTATATACCGCGTGATATAAATCGTTTTACATAAATAGTAGTTATAAGTTTGATATAAATTAGTGTTTCTTTAGTTTAAATAAATCAGTTCGAAAATAAATAGTGTCGTGTTCGCTTCTGCATCCGAATAACGTAAAAATATTAATTTTACCTTGAACTGAAGTCACCTCGGAAGTCAGAGAGCGTTCAATGGGTGTGAATTGTGTGTTGACCACCATTTGAACATTTAAATTTTTTTCAGAGCATACTTTAGAATCACATGCGGTGACGAAATATCTGACAAATGAAACACTGACGTTCATTTTTATGACCGTTACTGCCACATTCAATGACACATCTCAAAATTTCATGAAAATATCTATTTTGTGTCAACCGAGAATTTATTTCTGATTCCAACTAATTTTTTCCGAAAGTCAACTTTTTATACATCATTTTATTAACTATTAATAATACTCGAAGTCATCTCCACGACATTTTAATATGATCAAACAGATCAAAATACTCGGTACATGTTTCGGACATATACCGGGTGGCTACGGAAGTATTGCCTACGGAATATCTCAGTTATTGTATGAAGTAGGTTTGTGAAATTGGGAGCGTCGATATAATGACATAAGATCTAGAATTTGAGCATATTGACATGTCGAAGTTAACTTCCGGTCTGACCGGAAGTAACATCAACTTTCTTATTTTAAATGGAAATCCTATTTTTTTTTATTTTCGCTTTATTCAGAATGACATATCACAAGTTGGTATCTAACCAGAAACTAGATCGGAAAAAAATTATTATTGAAATTCACCGAGTAGGCCGTGGAAGCAAAATGAAAGCCAAAAATTGAAAAGTCGGCTATGGAAACCATACGTCACTTGATAACAGTTGCTACTACTGTGATATTTTATTTTCATTCGTCGGCGTTATAAAAAGCCGCCAAATAAAATATTGGAAAAATTGGGAAAAAAACAATACTCTGTAGGTCCATAACTTAAATAGGAACATACAACTTTTTATGTTTATGTTCCTATTTAACCTAGAACCTACAGGATATGATTTATCATTCCACATTATTTTTAATTTTATTTTTGCGTATGGCGATAATCTGTTTTGTTATTTGAAGAATAATAATTGGATTTCTTGGTATTTCAAAAAATGACTTTCTATTATATCATTAGAAAGGAATGGTTATGCTGGATAGTACAGGCAAGAAAAAGTTGTATGTTCCTATTTAAGTTATGGACCTACAGAGTATTGTTTTTTTTCCCAATTTTTCCAATATTTTTTTTGACGGCCGACCAATGAAAATAAAATACCGCAGTAGTAGCAACTGTTTTCAAGTGACGTATGGTTTCCATAGCCAACTTTTTAGTTTTTGGCTTTCATTTTGCTTCCACGGTCTACTCGGTGAATTTCAATCATATTTTTTTTCTTATCTAGTTTCTGGTTAGATACCAACTTGTGATATGTCATTAGAAAGGGAATTGAATGCTGAATAAAGCGAAAAGAAAAAAAAGGGTTTCCATTCAAAATAAGAAAGTTGATGTTACTTCCGGTCAGACCGGAAGTTAACTTCGACATGTCAATATGCTCAAATTCTAGCTCTTATGTCATTATATCGACGCTCCAAATTTCACAAACCTACTTCATACAATAACTGAGATATTCCGTAGGCAATACTTCCGTAGCCACCCGGTATATGTTCATCCTCTATACAGGGTGCACGTAATTCGAGCTTAAGCATGGAGATCTCGGTTATCTTGAGAGATACGATGTTGCTCAAATTAGCGCAAAGTTGCGCATTCTGGTGCTGAACAATAATCTGAAAAAAAAAACTGACCTGTCTTTCTTAGTTTTCAAGATATCGCTGAAAAACTGAATTTTGCGATTTTCGTTTTTATTTTTTGTAGGGAAACCGATCAAGTTAGCCATTTGTAACCGAAACATTCTCGAAGCAGTTTTTTGCAATGAATTCGAAAATGATATCACATTTTTTTTAACACACGAGGAAAGAAACAAACGACAGTCAACTTTTCCCCATTTGAAAATGGCATTTTGCAATCTAAAAGATCTAGAGTTAAAAATGTACTGAACTGTCAAAATTCGAAATCAACAAATTCGACAAATTTGTTTCCATGGCAATCTTCGAAAAAATGTTAATTAGAAAATTTTGACTATGATATGAAACCAAAACTTGTTGTGTAGTACATCGTCGGAATCAGAAAAAAAACTGAAATATAAAAATTCAATATGGCGTCCATAAGAAAATAAAAGTTGACTGTCGTTTGTTTCTTTCTTCGTGTGTTAGAAAAATGTGATATCATTTTCGAATTACTAGAAAACTGCTTTGAGAATGTTTCGGTTAAAAATGGCTAACATGGTCGGTTCTCCTGTAAAAAAATAAATACGAAAATCGCATAATTCAGTTTTTCGGCGATATCTTGAAAACTCAGAAAGATAGCTCAGTTTTTTTTTTAGATTTTTGTTGAGCACTAGAATGCGCGACTTTGCCCTAATTTGAGCAACATTGTATCTCTCAAGATAACCGAGATCCCTATGCTTAAGCTCGAATTACGGGCACCGTGTATATGTCCATCCTCAGCGTTTTTATCATTTTATCAGAGAGAGATTGTGAATGCACAGAAAAAATACTCAATTTTTGTCCACTTGGACGTTTCTGTAAGACCAATATTAATTGAGATAGCTATCGACTAACATATAAACAATCGCCCTGTACGTAATAAAAAACGAAGTCTTCATAATTTTCATCTAAATAATTCGTCTTATTCCTGCGGAGTCACTCACTGACATTTTGTACTGATTTCACCTAATTGAACCTAGCAGCTTATTTGTATCATATCTTCGAACTGGAAAATTCACGAACTGCTGATTCTACCAGAAGTATGTTTTATAGCAGGGGTGCCCATACTTTTTCTTGGGGAGATCGACCTAGCAAAACTATTTGACTAGGAGATCGACATTTAAACCATACATCACACCAACTAAAACCAAAATATAATGACACCATCATTCCATCATTTCAGCCTTTTGAACGTCCACTGCTAGACATAAAGGCCTCTTTCAATGATTTACGCGACGAACGGTCTGCGTTTTTTGCAGCGCGATCCTGCAGATCGTCGGTTCACCGTGAAGGAGAAATAGTTATCAAAAAAGAATTAGAAGTAAAACTGCATTAGTGATGTTTATTGCATTTTTAATCATCCAACACTATACAAAAATAATGAAAAATATGACTGATAAGTGATAAAAAAGAAAAAATATTTTAATGCGCATGATGACATTGGTGGTCCTCCGCGAAATTTTCATAATTTGGGATGTTTTCTGTTGATGCTAAACGCAAACAGGCTATGAGGTGGTCATTTGTTAGACGTGTGCGATATTTTGATTTTATCATTTTCATGTGCGAAAATGCAGACTCGCACATATTGATGACCAGTAAGAATAAGAATCACTGTTGCCGGCTCTAGCTTTCAAAATTATATCCGAAATGAGCTTCAACATTTTATCCTCAAGAGCAGTACATTCCATATTAAAATAGTCGCTAGAACAATTTTAGAATAATTTTTAGGTAGAAGAGATTTCATGAACATTTGTGCAGGTAAATGGGTAAGACAGAAATGATGAAATATTCTCCATTTTATTAATATCTACAAAGCGTCTTTCAAATTCGCTCAGAATTTTTGTCACTTCGTTTTCATATGACACAAAACTTTCATAGTTTTGTTGCAATAGCAGGATTGGAAAGTTCCTGCAGTCTTTGTTTTTTATTTCTTCCTTCAATTGTTTCAGCTTACGCTTGAAAGCATTTATGGAGGACATCATGTCCACAATATTTTTGTCTTTTCCTTGCAACTCCAGGTTTATATCGTTCAGGTGCTTTGTAATGTCGACTAAGAAAGCCACCGTACCGAAGGGATGTTGTGGTACACAGGTACAGTCTTCATAATTCTTTATACTTTTTTTTCAATTTTTCCTCGGCGATCGACTTTGAAAGCCTTCGCGATCCACCGGTCGATCGCGATCGACCGTATGGGCACCCCTGTTTTTTAGAATTCTCAAACTAGATAGTTATTTGATCTTTATGGAATGAAAAATACCTGAATGAGTCGATGGGCTGTGCCAGAAGAACGTGAGTGCACAAAGTGCATTTATTGTTCCATTATCTTAATGAATAAGAAATATTGACAGGGATTTGACGATATGTTCTGTAAAGAACGCAAGAGTTTACAATGAAGTACTGGACACTCAATTCAATTTTGCAGTGTGAAGAAAATCATGGAACGTTTGTGAGGGAGAATCATGTAATACCTCTGGATGAAAATGGCAAACCTTTGGAAATTCCCGGTGATAGTCAAAATGTTCCATCAAAAATTGCCAGGAGCCGACAAAGCAAGTAAGTATTTTGAATCGATGTTGGAAAATATATGTCATAGATAAACTACACTATAATATATTCGGTAGTAATACTATAAGTAGATACTTCAAAATATTCAGGTTATACATCGATACCTTGTTGCATGATTACAAAGAGTGTCAGTTAAACAGCTGAAATAATCCGACCGCGAGGCGGGAGGATTATTTTGTTGAACTGATACGATTTGTAATTATGCAAGAAGTTTGAGATCTATAACCATGAATAGTTTGAAGTTCGAATTGAAATCAATGCGATTATTTTTTAAGTAGTTCTGTACGATAATCAACATTTTACGACGCGCTTGGTCTGTATGTAACAATATGAATTGGTTACTATGGAAATAATTCAAAATTTCTGATTGGCGGAGTTTCTCTATGTACATCCACGTATATTCGAAATTATGCAAGGTAGCTTAACTCAATTGAACGTTCTGATTGGTTTAAAATCATACGAAGAAAATAATCTATAATATAGTTTGGCGAAAGGAAACTGCTCTTCCATCTATAATCTATATGAAACGACTGGTGTTAGGCTATTCCAGTTTTGCAGATAATTTCATTCCCAAAAGTAAAAAACAGTCTGACCATCCTTTTATTAATGTCTCAAGTTTCTGGGCTATCTAGATAGACAGAAGTCGGACTATACCGCGTATCAACGGAGCTATGAGACAAGTCATAACATTAAATAGTAGATTGTTTTGTTAGGACCAGAAGTGACACTTTGTTTGACAAGCGAATTTTGCGTTTGCGAGGCGAAGCGTTAGCGAAGCCAAGCGGTGTTGAATAGTAATTTACCTAATCACGAAGTCGAATGGAAGATGAAAGGACTTACAGTTCTTTCTCTATAGCACAACAAAAGCCATATGAAAAGTGACATTTCATAACCGGTCGACTGAGATAAAATTTCAAAAAATGTTTACGTCACAGAACAAAATATTTTATTTGATTAAATTTCAATCATGGATGTTTGAAGAAAAAATAACAGTACTTAGTGGCTAGTCATTGTGGGTTGGAGTTGGAGAAAATAAATTCTTCTTGTGCAATTCCTTGCCAATTTTTCAACTCGTAGGTACCTACTACATGACTACTGATAAAATTTCAAACTACCTTCACCTTTTTTGTTTGAAAAAAATATGAAAAAAAAAAATGAAATGAAATTTGATCTTCCCTAATTATTGTTATTGTAGATTCCAAATATGTGAGTAGGAAAACGGTTCAATAACTTATGAATCAGGTATGAGCATATTTTTTTTAGGATGTAAGATACTAGCTGTGGATCACTCACAGTACATGAAATATGTCACATGTTTTAATCAGCGTGAATAAAATTATTATTATTATTTTCATTTGTTTAGTGTATCTATGACATATGAATAATATGTAAATAATAACATCATTATTTCATGCTTTCTAACTAGGACTGCTAGCAAACCAAAACCTACTACGTAAGTCGTCCTAAGTTATAGTTGAAATATTTTGTCAGATGTTATGCTCATGATCATTTGTAGTGGCTTTCTCATCTCTATCCCAAAATATACTTGAAAATAAAAATTGATTCTTTAGTTAGACATTTTATAACGTGATCTTTGTCAGGAATAAATGGCGCACTTTGTTTTTTGACTTACATGCAAATATACCAATTGACAATGTATGTTTTTCAAAATTATATGATTGTACCTACTCATTATCAGAATACTAAAATGTGAAAATTCACAGGGTATTTCATTTGAACAAAAACTCTTTTTATTTTGCCCATGAGTGTGACAGCTGAGTAAATATCTCTGGGTCATTTTAACTAGATGTCACACTTATTGAGTCAATTCTGGTTTCTCCATCAAATCCGAAATCGTTCAATACGTAATGATATTCACTATACGAATATGAGATAGCATTCGAAAAGATTCTTCATTCAATTTCCACTCAGATAATTATACAAAATGGGTCTACACACACATTACACTTTACCTCTCAACAAAACCGATGTTTCGTTTATTTTCTTAGTATCTGCAGAAAAGATGAAAACTAATAATTCTATCATCATGGCCATTTCGCAATTCCTATCCCAAAGTTTTACATAATTATACTAGATGTGTTCACCTTAAAAAATTAGAAATTATGTAGATCAATCGAGGAGATTCATCAAATCCAGGTAGTAAAACACCTTGCACATTTGAATCATGGCAAATTGAAACCACAATCCTAATAGACATTGAAAATTCGAACTTGATCAATAGAGTTGATAATTTTTGGTAGAAATCCAGAATTGCTCAAAGTGGAGGAGTTAAGAAGGAAGAAAATTTCAGAATAGTCTTTGAATTTCAGTTAATAATATCTATGTGCATAATTATGTTATAGTGAAATTAGTAGTACATCCTCGAAGTGGAGTTATTAGTTACCAGTAGAAACATATATAGTCATGTCCACAAAATACACTCACCGAAAAAAAAGCCACATAAAAATTTACCCAAATTGATCGCCATGTAACATTTTTAATTTTTCTACCGATTTTGGTGGAATTTCCATCAAATCCTAGATTCATTTTTCCTAATGCTAGCTAGAATTAATATCTTGAGAAAATCTGATGGCTTGATCATTATAGAAGGAAAAACAGATGGAAGTCTTTCACCAATAACTTCTTAACGCCCGGTAGCAAAGGTAAGTAGTTAAAATCAGCTTCAAAATGTAGTGTAATCCCTTCTCAACACCATGGTATTCAATTCACGTCAATCTTATCGATTAACAATTTGAAAAAACTTATAAAAATTAATATTGCTTATTCCCACCCTGTTTTTAAGCACTCACCAACAAAAAATCTTGATTACAAAATACATAATAATATAATAATAATAATAATAATGTTTATTTCCACAGAAATAGAGATATAATAGTTTCAGATATAATCAACATTGTGAGAAAAAATCACAGAAAATATGGGTACATTTACATCAATAGTAAAAATATTCAAAAAGTGAAAATAAACAGCTAATCGCTAAAAGCAAACTTTGAAAGCGATATAAATATAAAATTTTCAAATTTTTCTTACAGAGAATCACGAGTACTAGAGAGGACAAGATTGTTGTGATTTGTGATCTGTATTGCTATATTTCTCAGTTGAAACATCAAGAGCATAATTCCTAAATGTAGTCAATAACGAGTATGCTGTCCTCGAGCTTGAATTACATCATTCAATGACACGGCCGGTGTCATCGAGTTGATGAAATTTTTCAAACAGATTTGAGGAATTGCTTCAAATTCTTTTTAAAGACCGAGGCAATGCCGGACAAAGAAGAAATCGCCCCTGGAGTTCATTTCATTGATCCTCCATACAGAGGAGTCCACAAAAAATGGCCAGTGCTGTAACTTCTACCAAATTGCTCATTAATTAACAAAACAATGGCCTTTCGGGTCATTTCTAGAACAAATATATCTTGAAATATATGGCTCTGGAATACCTTAAAATAATATTTTGAGATTTTTTTACCATCAATTTATCGTATAAAAAATTATTGAAAACGCCAAAATGAAGTAGCGAATTCAAAAGATCAGACATACCCGCGAAACGTGTGACGTCAGTACGCGAGCAATTTAGATTGGTAATGCCCGATCTTCTTGCGGTTGCCAATAAAATGCACGATGGACTTGACAATGTTGCCAATTCGGACAGAAAGCTATGATTAGTCGGATATTCATTCGTCGATTTTTCATTTTAACAAATAATACAGATAGGCTGTTAGATAACTCAACTAATTACTACTCACCTGGAAATTCGTGGTATTAAAAATTGCATCGCATGATCTGTTAGTTGGTTGATTTATGTTGGAGAATCATTCAAAATTGTAAGTGACATTTCATTTTGTTGAATGAATTGAATTACAGTGCAGAATGCAGATATTCATGACATTCAGTTTCATAACCATTCAAGTGAAGTACTTTCAAGTCTTGGTACTCACCTATTAAATACCTACCCATATCTACCTACCACAGGGAAAGAAACAAATTCTGAATCCATCAATACTAAATTACGTATAAGAACTAAGAAATAAGAATAGTGAAGTTGTGCGGGGAATGAGGTATTTTTAACTTGGCATCATTTTGTTAGCGTCAGTTTCTTGACCTCTTTCTCTTGTAGACATAGTTGCCAGATTATCAATTAAACTTTCCGGGAATGAGTACTTGAGATATAGTCACACTGTTCAATTCGTTGATTACAACAATAAGTCATAATTTCAACATAACAAAAATCAAACTGAGTATACAGGGTGTTTCTTAAGTACGTATAGAAAATTCAGGAGCATGTTGCTGACGTCTAAATAGGAAGAAAAGTTCGTATAAACATATGTCCGAAAGTTATCTGTTTCTGAGATACAGAGTGTCAAAGTTGAATTCGTATTGGAAGAGTTCAAAAAAGCAGGTACTCAATGTTAAATGAAGGAGAATGTTGAATGAAAGAAGAAAAATGCACTAGCGTATCTTTTCACTAGACATTCACTAGAGGCGACTTACGAGCCACATGGAAATAATTCGAATGCATCGATTATTTCGAATCCCAATAATTCGAAAACAGTTGCTCGCAGCGACCTCTACCAAGAATATATTTTTTTCACAAAAGTGTTCTAGAAACCTATTTTTTCACTATGAAACGTTATACAGGTACGCACAAAAAAGTTATAACTTTTCGAAAGGAATTACTTTCGGACATATATTTATACGAACTTTTCTTTTTATTTTGACGTCAGAAACACGCTCCTGGAATTTCTACACGTACTCAAGAAACACCCTATATAAAAAGTGTCTTAGTTTTAGATGCCATTATCCTAGGTAATCTTGAAACTAATGGAATACTTTGAAGTTCAGAGTGAATTGAATGTGATCAGCAGTGAATTACCAATCAACTAATCACATACTACATAGTAATTTCGAATCATTGTATTCCTTGCATCATCTTGCACATATGATCAATTCAATGATTTTATAGAGATC